CTTGGCGCTGCTAGGGCTTCCCACAGGTCAGCATTAAGCCCGGAAGACAGGCCTGCCACGCCTGTCTGGCCTGTCGGAAACGGCCAGAGCAGCAGTGCAAAAACATTGGTGGACGACGGCCTCCAACCGTCCAGGCTATTGAATCTCCGCGCATCTCGAGGTACCTCCATTGGAGTGGGCGAGAGCGTCTGAGGCAAAGAGACGAAAGAGGACGGTAATCTGAGGGCAAAGTCGTGGCTAGAGTTCCAATTGCGTGTGGACCGGCGTCAGTTGAAGGCACTGGTGCCTCAATGCCCCGTGGCAAGAGGAAGGAGCTGTATAAATGCGTAGTAAGACATGCAGCTGTCAAATGCCCCTGATCAAACCGCCCGTCCGCTACTGCCATCGCTCGTGCCCATCCAGAGCGAGTAGGGTGAGTTATCATTATTCTGCTGTTTGCTTGTAGTTATGTCCATGGTCCAGCGGCGGTAGCTCCTGAACCACAAGATTCGGAAAGCCCAGCAGCGGGTCGGCTCAAGTCCTCAACCGTGCATTGGCACTCGAAGTTTTCTGGCTCCTTGGAATGGTCATACATGTCATCTGCACTGCGAAAACGACCGAACCCGGACCAGAGGGGTGTCTGCGAGCGTCGAGTCGACAGCAGCAGCAGGGACGGAGCTCGCTGAGCGTGGAGGGCGTCTAGGCAAGGCCGTGAGAGAGAGTTTGCTGCTGCTGCAGCAGACCAGCGACCAGCGCAAAAATGTCAGCTAGGACCTCGCAAAGGTAGACGGTCTGGAAAGACCGTAGACTGCATGGGGGCGCTAAATGCAGAGGCTGACGATATACTCGAGCAGGAGAGACTATCATATCGTCGTGTTGGGCGCAGGTGCGTGACTTTCTCGTTCAGGAGGCCGAGTCTCACAGCTGACAATCTCTGCAAGGCGGCGTTGGCAAATCGTGCCTTACTGGTAAATTTCGCCACCCCCTTGATGGGCATCGTTTCTGACAGTCTGCCCAGCACAATTCGTACAGAATGTTTGGATCGAGAGCTATGATCCTACGATTGAGGACTCGTACCGAAAGCAAATCGAGGTCGATGTGAGTCCGCGGTCGAGGTGTCTCGTGTCTGTGCTACCATGACTGACGCACAATGACAGGGTCGTCAATGCATGCTTGAGATGTAGGATTCTCCATTGAGACAGCGACATGTGGCTCACAAATTGCAGATTGGATACAGCTGGCACTGAACAGTTCAGTAAGTTCAAAGAATGTTATAATCACGTGACTGGATACTGACTCTTGAACAGCGGCGATGAGGTACGATGCTCCACGATTGGGTGGCAGGAAAAGACGTCGGAATGCTGATCGTTGTCCTAGAGAACTATACATGAAAACAGGACAAGGATTCCTACTCGTCTTTTCTATCACTAGCCAAAGCAGTCTTGCCGAACTGCAAGAGCTCCGAGAGCAGATCATCCGCATTAAAGATGACGAGAATGTCCCAATCGTTATTGTTGGCAACAAGTCCGACCTTGAAGAAGATCGAGTCGTGACTCGGCAGAGAGCTTTCACCGTCTCGCAAAGCTGGGGGAATGCTCCATATTACGAGACATCGGCACGACAGCGGGGTGAGTTTGACTGTTGAATCTGAATGACAATGCTAATCTCAGCCAAGCGAATGTGGATGAAGTCTTCATAGATCTCTGCCGGCAGATCATCCGCAAGGACAATACAACAACGCCGAGTATAGACGAGGAGGTTGTCTATCGTCGGAGAGAACACCGGCGACCGCACAGGTCGCGACGAAAGAAAAGGGATGGAGGGTGTACGATATTATGATGATATTGAAGAGTCAAAAGCCATGGTTGTCATGACCACGAGCGCAGTGTTGTCCTGGAGACTTCGAAGGGCGTTTCGATTCATGTTGTTCATTTCAAACGGTGGCATTTTGTGGACAAAATGGGATTTTGCATTTATGGGGTTCTAACATAGACAGGAAAAGTTCACGATTTACGAACTGGACATAGCTCATAGAGGTGGTCATACTGAATGATCCCATATTCCCTTCGTTCACTTTTCAGAATTGGTCTCCCCTAGCGATATGTCCCAATACTCTATCTGTCCTCATTCTTCGAGCAGCAGATTGTCGAATGTGCGCTATGCCATCTTGGATACTCGATTCGAAAGGCAAGAACTCGCGCCCTTGTTATGGGTACACAAACTCTGAGATTTCGTCAAGCGCATAGCCAGTGGCTCTGAATGTTCCGGAAGCTAGGGGATAACGTGAATATCTAGAAATGATAATAAGGATTTGATTGTTCGAAATTTCCAAGAACATTGTAAGTATTGACAACTACTTAGGGACTTGCGGTGCTGTATTCAGATCCAGGGCTCTAGCTCTTACAAATGCTTATTGCCTATATCTCTAAAATAGCTCATCTATCATCCTCTGTTCCGTGGTACAGCTCTGCACAGAAGCTTTCTCCACATTGCCTAAGCGGTCTTGTCCTGGACTGTTGCATGTTGTCCCGATTCAACGGAGTTCTCATGATTTGAGCTCTCCTGGCTGCATTTCAACAGCATTTTCTAATGACGATCTCGTCTTGGAGGGAGCTTCTGCGCAAAGGATCAGCATATGCCTTTAGAGCCTCCCTATTTCCACAATTCTGGACCTTTCTCCGGCATGGAAGAGACTCACCCTTCATATTCCCAGCTTCCATGGGGCCGGGCCCACCCGGTTTGGAACGAAAGAACGGCAACTTGACCTCCCGCTCCGCAAATTGGAACTCAACATTCTCACGCCTGCGTTCTTCGGCAATGTCGTCGAATGTCTTTTCCTCTGCTTTGGCTTGAGCGCGAATCTTTCGAGTTCGGAACCGCCATATCAGATGCGAGATGAAGATTCCGCCTTCGATGAAAACGCATAGGATGTAAAGAATTCCTCCCAGAATGTCGAAAGTGTTTTGTGCAACTTTCCGAAGTCAGTCTTTGAGACAACATGGACAAGAATGGGGTGTTACCAAGAGCCATCAGCGAGAAGAAAGCTCCCATCCAGTCGATAGTGAGGAATATCTGTTCCGGCTTAGTAGATTTTGGATGGAGTTGATGAATTGCATACCCAATTAATTCCAATAACTCTTCCCCTCCGCTTATATATCTCTATGTATGGGGGCAGCAGTCCAACTGCAAGAAGTATGCTCGCAATCACCCCGAGAATAATCATAGGGAAATTGATGCCACGATCATACAATGGCTTTTTCGTCAGTGAATCCTCAAATTTCCAAGACTTGTCAATCACCTTCAGTGTCAATATCAATGCTGCTTCAGCGCCACATAGCACAAGCCAGATGGCTCCAGCAATCGATGACGCTTTCCAGGCCGGCCATCGACTGGAAGAAAGTGAGTTGGTGTGGCTTGGAGACATGAGGGAGCTTACTCATGATATATCAGAGTTTGTGCCCAGCTAACCAAACATAATGTGCCAAAGACTTGTGGCTGGACTTGAATGGGGATGTTGAAATTCTAGGGAACAGTAAGAGAAGGTAGTATCAAATCAGAATGGGATCAAACTTGAGCGATTGAGTAAGCTCCGAATGGAACGGCGCCTTTGAACTGTTAGAGAAGAGGAAAATCAGGGTTTCGAGGACTTACAAACTGCCCATAGAAACATCATTATACCGGGGAGACCATCGGTCTTCTTGGCACGATAATTCGTCCATATCCTAGGACATCAGCAGATGATTGGAGGTGCTTGTGAGAGGGGCTCACTGAGGTACTAGCTGCATTATATCAGTGAAGTTCTTCTGTAATACGGGATTCAACCTACTTGAACACACCAGAAGCTAGCTATTCTTTAGTAGAAGACTCTAAAAAGGGACTTGAAATGTATACACTATTTATTGTCAGTTTGTTCATATCTGGTAAATGCACAAACCTGTTCCAATTGTCCTGAGATGAGGGTTAGTGACTTGCTTCTCAACAATTTGATGTTTCCTTACCCAAGAACATTGGCAGCCTAGAAATGTCAGTCTCATTTTGATTTACCCCAACCAGTTGGTACAATGATATGATTTGTTTGATTTTATTGGGGGAGTCACATATTCAAATGCAAGTACTGAAATATCGGAGCAATATTCTGACTACCCTTCCACTCTTCAGTGAGCTAGGTGGGAGGTTCGTGTTCGATTCGCCTCGGTCGCATTTCCTACTTTTTTTTGGGGGCACTCTGCTTATGGCTAAACCCCCATTTTCGATCATGTCGGCCGACGGTTGCTCAGATATTTCAGGACTTGCTTTTGAATATAGGAGATCCCACATAAGATTATCAGTTTGATACAGGACCCGGGCGTTGATTCTTATAAAATCTTGATTTCAAACTGTTTGTAATTAAAAGGGGAGAGGGAATGCATACAACTGGGATGCTCGTCTGTGGTGCCATTGTCAATACTAATTAAAGGTCTCGGCCAATTTATTCCACCAAATCCAAGGATCTCGCTAGATATATGTGAAATATGTATAAATGAATGCGATGGCACGACTCCAAACAACATATAACGGCATCCAGGTAAGAATACAAAATGTTGATATGAGAAATGTTAAAGAAAAATTGGTTATGGCATTACCTCACTAGCAGGGCCGACGCCGCCACTCTCGGGCCGCTCGCGGAAAGTCATCGGGTTTATCAATTGTCACCTTTGTGAAGCGCCTCTTTGTGAAGCTCCTCTTTGTGAAGCTCACCTTAGTTGAAAAGAATAGCATGCAACATTACCATTTCAAAGGCAATATAGATAATGTAATTTGATATATTTAAAAGTCTAGGGGGTTGTGCCTTGGATGTAAGATGCCAAATACGACACTCTCTCTGGCTCGGTTAACTTATTTGGCAACAGTCACCTGTGGTCAGCCCTGGTCACCAGTCCCCCAAACCCTAATGAACAGAACTCAGCACCAAACTGGGGTGCAAAAATTATTGATATGCTGTATATGCAAAGAGGAGGTCAAAAATTATTCACAAAAAGAGATGCAACCGCCGTGAATCGAACACGAACCTCCACCTAGCTCACTGAAGAGTGGAAGGGTGGCTAGAATATTGTTAGTTAGGATATTAGTGTGATGAGAAAGTGGTTTCTTACAATCCTAACCATTGGACCACGGAAGCTATCGAATGTTGTGCAGAAAAAGTCCTTATGATGCATAATTAAGTCCAATTAAATTGTGGCTTATCTGGCCGATTCACAGGGATATTATAGTGGGCCCCAGAACTTTAGTTCTTAGGAATATGGTTAGAACACCTTACCTATATATAAGAATATAGCTATTCTCCCTTTAGTTCTCGAAATACTTTAATAAGCTTTTCTTAAAAGCTATAAGTTTAATTCAAATATATTATTAACTAAATATTAGTAATTATTAGAATTCTCAATATAATCCTAGCCTTGCCCTACCAAACTTTAGGGGAAATCAAAACCTAACTACCTTTCTGCTTCGTTCAAGGTTCTTTGAATTTAGAGATAGTCTGGCCAGTGAGAATTGTTCCTCGAGCTGTTGTGTATTGAGGAACAGTTTTGCGCCACGGATTCCACAACCTCCAGTGTCACATTTTCAGTACTTAATAATCGTGAGGGTTTAGCACTAGTGATGTGTCTGTATTTAGCTATTGGACTCCGCTGAAAGTTCTTTGTCAAGGTTTCAGTTGGAAATCGAGATGGAAAACTGAGGTGAATTTTCGCTTCCCTACTTTTCTTTGTAGTGGGCAACAATGGAGCGGGATATGACTACTTCCTAGTTCTCATAATTTATCCCAGCAGATACTTCCAAATCTTTCCACTTGACAATCCATATCCTCTTCCGCCCCAAGGTTCTACTCCAGCAAGTTCTCAAATATGATTGTATACTAAACCCCTGAAATGATACCATCATAGCGGTTCTCAAATTTACACGAATCGCACAAGGCCCTTCAGTTTACGTCGAATATTATGCAGATACCTCCCCCTCTTCCTGCGACCGTAAGCGCCAAGCGCCTCACAGGTTCTGCCCCTGTTATTGAGAGAATAAGGGGGGAGGGGTGCTGCAATGGGTTCTAAATCTGGCCTCTTCCATCCCGAGGGAGTGCTCAACGTTTCAAAGCCTTCCGAAATGGTTCGTGGGGGTCCGAGGGGCATCAATGGGGTCAAGGTGTGGCCAACAATAATTTTCGAATCGTTATCATTTCCAACAAGCCATTTCGAGTGCTGGAAATTCAATTGTTCTTGAATTTTATCGTATAAGCGAATTGAGGGGCTTCACATCTTGTCCAATGCTGAAATTAACAGGAGATGGCAACAGAAAGGGGAAACAATGACATCACATGACTGAAAACATCCCAAAACGCAGAGCCTCATGTCTGATCAGCGAGATGGGTGTGGAACTTTGGGGGGCATCGAGAGTACCCCCATCAGCACTAACAGTTTCGTGTGCCAGTAAATGGACCGTGCAACCATGTGGTCCTAAAGCACGTCCTAAAGCATACTACTTTCACGGCTATGCATGAGAGAGAAGCCGGCGTGCATGGCGACAGGTGCCACCTATTGGTCAATGGTGAGGGAAATCCGGGTCCTGATCAGAAGAACCAAGCTCAGTGGAAAGCCACCGACAACGCACACGTTCACTTCGAGAAAGGGCTAAGGCAGGTCTGTTATAAGTGCCGCTATTCGAATATACACACACAGCCTTGTGAAACGGAAGCCATTTCTCGGAGGAAGACATGCTTCCAGCCGCTCCGAATGTCCCTCTGACCAGGTTGACGGGGCTTCTGTACGCTGTGGACGAGTGTTCTCTGCCGACCTTGGGGGTGTGGTTTCTTTTTCGTTGAGGGGCCCGAGGACAGGAGGTTACGGGAAGGTCCCGGCAAGCGTCGGTCATCATCTGACAAGTTTCGCGACCTGGGGAACATGGTTGCTTCTCCCCAAGCTTGCGAGCGGAACATGGACAGTGGTCACTGGAGGATTTGACTCCGACTGGTACCAAGAGCTTTTGGACGTGGTTCTGCCAGCATGTGGTCTTTGTCGGTCAACCTTACCTGCCCTCCCCACCAGATGTCATCGAATAACGGCCGCGAGATTTGTACACAAGAGGAAAAGCTGCACTTGTGCATCTGCGATGCAGGAAATCGAACCATCCGCGAGACGAGAAGGGCTAGTGACCTCGAAGCAAACATCCTTTCCAACGCTGAGCAATCACTGAGTGTCCTTGACCCCACCAAAGGTCCAAGTCATGGGGGAGTGGAATCTAGAACAATTCGTAGAAGGCCACAGTCCAGAAACAGGAGCCATGCCAGTTCATGATGACAGGATTTGGGTTTGTTCGTCGGAAAAACTACCCCGTCCTCAGTTCGCCGATCCATCACCAGGTCAAGATTCGTGAGTGCGATTTCTCGAGAGCCAGTGCAGTGGGATAAGCCCCTCACCCAGCCCACACACCCTCAGCTGGACCCAAGCAGCGCGCCCCTGTCGAGGGGAAGAAGGTGCACGGGCTGCCGGCCTATGAAAGGACCACAGCACACCCCTGACCATGATCCTGGAGATTGACCTTGTCGAAGGCGTCAAAGCTCCTTGCAAAAGTTGCCACCCTTCAGGGCTCGAGTACATTACATGACATGCCGAGAACAATCAAGCAGCGCTCTCAGCAGCTTTCGTCCCTCGCAACTCAACCGGCTGGAGGCGTCGAGCGTGCTTACGAGCGCCGGTATCAAGTGTCTCCAAGGGCCTGCAAATTCCGCGTGCTGCCTTGTGAACCGCCCACACAGTCCACGAGATACCACTAGAAGACCTGTCCGCTGCTGGAGTGTTTAAAGGAGGCAAACTTCCGTCCATGCGCCTCGCAGCGCCATCGGAATCGTGGCCGCTTCGTACATTCGAGCTGTCACTTTCCCATAGAGAGGTTCGGCAGGCATTGAGATCTGCCATGTGCTCCGAGTACCGCAAGCAAGCCGGATGCATCTTCATAGAGGTTTGCCTGCCGACTGATGAACAGCTGGAAATACTCACCCGACACTTGGAGAGTTGATCTGTGTTAATCTGAGACAGACGCCAGTGCTGCATTATTTTGCCATAAATTTCAGCGTACAAAAGCCCATTTGGGCATAAAGCGATTATCCGTTCCCCTGATACGCATCCACCAATGAGTGTGCCCTGGATTTTCGAAGCACACACATTCGTGCGCCAGAGTCTGCCGTACAAGACGTCAGATGGCGCTGTGTAACCTCAAGAGTCGGCAAAGGAACCATACACCCATCGTCACACCCGACCAAGATCTCCTGGGATCGTGGCCAGTATGCAAGCAGGGCGTTGACGTTCTTTCCTGAGCATTACTGCCAGAACAATCTGGCGGTTGGCAGTTGGCAGTTGGCAGGTAGCGAGCGACAGCCACACGGCTGCTCTCTGTCGGATATCAAAGAAGGGGTCCTCTGCAGCTGCATGCCTCCCGCAAAAAGAAGGAACATAACTCGATTGTCTCACTGAGATCTAACCTCCGGAGGGCTCCTGGTCCCTGTCTCTGATTCTCACCACCACCCTCGACAAAGTTAAACCCGTTAGGCAGAGCAGGAGGTCCAATGCCGTCCAAACGAAGCTGAGACATCTTCCACTGGGTGCCTCCCAGAGCCGTGAACACTCAGTCCCAAGCATCACCCCACCATCCACATTGAGGAGGGTTGTCGATAGCCCCAAGCAGCCAAATCTGTGCACGCGATCTAGCACAACGGAGTTTCCCCAGCACCTAGGCAGGTAGGGTAGGGTAGGGTAGGTAGATAGATAGGTGGTGGACGATAGTGCAGGTCGCGTAGCGCAAGTCAGGTCAGCCAACGAGGGGAAAGAGCAGCGCCTTTTTTGAATTCCAGCTGGCAGCGAATCACATTCTGCCATGATTATCAATCTCATCCCGAGAGCCGAAGGTTGAAGGGGGTGGACCATGGATCGCACCACGCTGATTGCAGGCGGTAGAAAAGACGGCTTTGGCTTGGGCTCTGGTGTAGTGTGTCCTGGGAGTGTGTCCTGGGAGTGTGAGAGTTTGGGACAGACGTTGTTGTTCGTTTCTCCATTGATCTTGCACGGCCGCTGCATCCCCCACTGGGAGCCGCTCGTCGGGGCGCGCACATGGCACTCTAGATGTTGGCATCGTGGCATCGCGGCCTTGCGCGCACCCCAATATAGGGATCGAGGCAGGTTCGAGGCAGGTTCTGGACGGAATGATCATCGCTGCGGAGCGCGTTGGAGCTTGGAGGCTCCTGCCGCTCGCTCGTTCGCACGCACGTACGCCCGCGTCCAAGGTCCCACCCACTGGTGCCATCCCCGTCGCATCCCCGCTGGCTGCAGCTGCTATCGCCCATCTTGCGCATGGCCCATGAAGGAGGTGTGGAGCCGGCTCACTGACTGCACTAACTGCTCAAGGAGACAAGGAACCTGGGAGGCCAGGAGAGCAGCAAGGATCCTGACACGGCGTAAGAGCTCCCTGAGGTCCTCTCCCAGGCCCTCTCTAGCCTGTCTCTGGCACTTGCACTGGCACTGGCAGCAGCAGTGGCCCCTCTCCCAGGTGGCTCCCGTAGCCCCCTCTGGCTCTGTTCCGCCTTACCAAGGGAAATCTGCAACTACCAGCCTACCCAGCCAGCTCTGCTTAGTGTCGCGCTAGCTTTATCACTCTTAATCCAAAGTTCGCCCCTGCAGCCAATCACCGCGCCGCCCCGGCCTGCCTTCCACCTCACAGCGACAATCTCCAATCCCCCATTATTTCACCCACCCGTTCCATCTCGAACGAAAAAAACACTCCGACAGAGCCCAGCCCTCCTCCTCCTCCTCATCGATCTTCTCCCGGTCCCAAGCACTCCTCCCGACACTCCTTCAAGTATATCCTCGCGCTGTCACCAAGCAGCTCGAGTCGCCCCGAGTCTCGTCCCGCTCCCGTCGCGCCCACCTAACTTGCGACCGAGGGCAGCTCTCCTTCAACACCACATTTCCGCCATTGAGGTCGACGCGGGTCGCACGGTCTTCCAGCAGTACCTGAACTCTGGAGTCGACGAATTTGACAACTCACCTCTCACGAGTGCTGGCCCAAATCTTCCCGCGATCAACCACCCGTCGTCTCCAGCATAGTCTCTTGTTGCGCGAGGTCTTATCGTACCCTTCC